CGAAAGCGTTTATTGAGAATGAAGAATAATTAAGACGGTGTCCAAAAGAATCTTGGCTGGTTGCTATCTTTTGTAATGTATAAGGAAAAAAAGAAAAAAAAAGAAAGAAATTACGTTCGGAGAAGAGATTTATTTGTATATGTAAATTTTTATTTTTGTTCCTCCGTCTTCTATTTTTTTGTTCTCAAGTTCTCTCCTACGTTTCATTTCTTTCTCTTTCGCATCGCCTTGCTATGTTTCTCCTAGTTGTTATTATTATTATTATAATTTCGTTTTATTTATTCTTGACCAAGTCCAAGTTAAATCCAATGTGGGTACTTAGCCGTTTAAGACGTTAATCTTTAAACGCGTTAGATTTTTTTTTCTTTTCTTTATCTCCTTCTTTTTCTGTCACTCGCGAATGCAGTAATGCTACGTTCTTTCCTGTGATTCTGATCGACCCGCGCCTTATAACACCGTGGCTCATCTTTCTTACCTGTGCCAACAGCTCGGCAGCACGGAATCGCTTCGTTTATTTAATGCGTACGCATTACTGTACAGTGCACGTAAAGTTACACTATAGTGTAATCGAGCCTATGCATTTCTTACGTATTGACGGGAAACATCCGTGCGCGGGAATATTTGAAACTCCGATTACGGATTGATTCGATATTTGAGAGAGAAAAAAAGTATCGATCGATCGCGAGAGTTTCGATATATATTTTTTTTTATCAATAATTCCAACAGGAACAGAGATACGTCCATGCGTGTTGTCCATTGGGACAAAAATGAAAGTCAATTGTAGGAAACTTATTATCTGCCTGTTGAAATTCGTTTTTTCTTTCTGCACCTTTTTTGCCTGCATACTCAAATTTTGATTTTGTTATTGGGTGGCTTTCGAGGGAAATTAGCCGATTACCGGTAGAAAAGCTTCGATCGACGTTTCATCGCGGACGTAGTGTTCAATTCAACCTATAGAGTACAAAGACATTGACGTGATCTCAGATAGTATTTAAAGATAAATTTAAAAATGAACGACGAATAATGAGAAAACAAGAAAGACAGCAGGAAACACGCAAGAGACTAATGGAAGGCATACGTTTGCTCTGTCTTTATTTTTTTTTTTTTTTTAAGTACATAGGTTTTTCCTTCTTTGAGCTCTATTTTTTCTCGTTTATTTTTTTTTACATATTCTTTTTTGTTTTCTTCAAAGAGAAAGAACATACCTTGCTCGAGACGAAAAATTGCCACGTGGACGCGTGACGATATCGATGCTTAACGTAGGATTGTCGTTTTCGTTTTACAAATTTCCCAGGATTTATCATCGTTTCCCGATTTTTTTTTTTTTTTTCTTTCTTTATTTTACGTAAAAATAATGCTTCTCTCTATTGATACATTAATCAGAATGTATCTTTGCGAAAGCGCATGGTGCGGTCGATGCGCAATCGTAAAGATAGAAAAATAATTCATAATAATATGGTAAAAATGCATCAGTACAATCCGAATCGTATTCGATATCGCTCTCTCCCCATCGTGCGATGTTACTCATTGTCGTTTAAAATTGTAAAAAGAAATACTTTGACGTTTCATAATTACTATGATTTTTGCCTTTTTCTTTTGTATTAGGAAATACAAGCGGGACAAACGCTTGTCGTTTTTCCACCAGTACCTTTCCAATATTAAGTTTATATATATATATATATATATATATATATTTGTATGAATACAATAAGTAACAACGAGTATCATGGAGATTGAGTACAACACAGCATACACATTTTAGCGAGTTCTCCTTTTACAATAATATTTTTATGGACGTACGATAACGAGTCATTTCAATAAATAATTTTATTAAAGCCAGTTGCCTGTATCATATACGTACAAATTGTTGAGATACAATAATTGCCAAAAAATTAAACTTTTTAAAGCTGTGAACCATAATTGACTGTCAAGTAATAGATACCAGTTGTTTTTTTCTTTACGGGAGATTAAGGGGTTATTTTTCTTTTTTTTTTTCAAAATTCATACATTTTCAAAGTATCGTTTCGTACACGGTAAAGGGCCCATATTCGTGGAATTTTTGGTATGCGCCTGTCAAATGTGCATTTCGCATTGGTAACCGCCTGACTAAATTTCATAGCTTGATAGAAAATTGTAATCGCAAATGATTGCCACCGTTATGTTCCAAATTTGCGTTGACAAAGAGCGTTATTGTTAGATTCTATTCGTAGGAGCGAAATTACGATCAATCAGGCTAGAAAATATTGCGGCTTAGAAGGAATGCGGATTTATATGAAACTTTACGATCTTTCTTTTTTCCTTTCTTATACTCTCCGGTTTTTCATTTGTAACGGAATACGATGTATACTTAGTTTATACTTCGCGAAGAACAAGATAATTATAAAAGAAGAAAAAAAGGATAAGCAAGAAAGAGGAATGAAATAAATGATTTTTTCGAAAAAAAAAAAAAAAAACTAAAAAAATGTCTACTTATTTATATCCTATCGCACTACGTTAATATTTCGAATTTTTATTAATGCAATTGTTCACTGTGGATAAAGATAAATAAAGATAAATACGTTAAACTTTTATTTGTTAAAGTGTAATCTTTAATTGTTCGTCTGCGTTTGTTGATACATTTTGCACGTACCGTGGTTGGAAGTTGGACATTTTTTTAAAACTATACGACAATTTTTACGTTTAAGTTATATTTATAAAATGATACCTTCTGCTATACGTTGCATGACGGACGTCATATATTTATAAAATATAGGCGTTTTTCATCTTCAAAAAATGTTGGCTAGTATATTTTTAATCATTTATCTTCCTCGACCTCGACCACGGTTGAACCCACCTCGACCTCGACCGGATGCTTTTCCTTTTGGTGGCGGTGATTTCGGTCTTAGAGCTTCTATTCTTTCGGTGCAACCGGTCGTGATCTGACTATTGCTGAAATAGCTGGTGTAAAGATCAGCATTGAAATTTGTATTCGTCAGCTCAGGACCAACCGTGAGCCAGCCTGGTCGAATTGTACAGTCGCGACCAAATAGATGCAATCTGTATTAATGAAATTATTGTAAAATAATTAACAGGCAAAGGATCACTTGTGTATATGTCATACGTACCGCCTACGACCCAGACAAAAATGTTCGATTATGTGAAATATTTCAACTGGCTTCTCTATGGATCCATATTCTGGTTCTTCTGATATAATTAAATCAATGTCGACGTTGGCATGAATAAAATCTCCGTCAGTCGATCTTCTGACGGTTCCTTTTATACCCATTAAACAATGTTCCTTTGTCCTTTGGAGAACTGCCTTGCTGTCGAGGTTCTTGCTGTGACCTGGATTGTTAATGTTTGTACGAATCCAACAAATATCCTCACAACGTCGGAAGCCCCATTTGCGAAGACAGAAACGTCCCATGTCGAGACCATCGCTACTTCCACACCATAAAAATACGAAACTTCGATTGGCTGCTACTTCACCTATGTCCAACTCCATTATCTAGTAAGAAGGTAAGACCTTATTTTCTGATGTATTATAGTAAATAGTAGAATTTACTTGTTATGTTAATGTATTTTTTATTTACATACCTGATCCCAATTCCACAACTGTACATTTGTTGCTCCACAAGTTCTTTGATATTCGTCTAAAGGTGGTTCGATGAGGATCACATCAAACTTACAGTTTAGCTCCTTTAAGTTGTACGAGAGAAGATTGGTTTTTAGGTACATTGGTGGTGTTGCTGTCTCTGATATTAAATCGTCTTTGAGTTTTATTAGTTCCCTCAGTTTTGGATATTCTTCAAATCTATCAGCTAAACCCACGTCTCTGATAAAATTCTGTGGTCGTTGACCAGTGTCAATGAAGTGTTGACAGTAATCATTGTGTGGATTTGATGACTGAGTTCCCTATAAACAAGAACAAGAATTGTCGTCACAAGTGTTAATGGTTCCTTTGATTTACGCAATATGCATTTATGGACAAACCAGTCAATTACTATTTCGAATGAATTAACGTGCTTTTAGAAATGTGGAGGAATCCTTATAAACTATTTCATCAGCAGGTACAGTATTGTCTCTGATATCCTTTGCTTCATCATCCAACTTATTTGTGTGAATCTTTCCTTTCTTCTTCTGTGCTTCATCAATATCTGTACCCAGAATTTGTCTTAGCTCATCAACGCTAGAAACACCAAGCTGTAAAACAATAAATAAATACATTCCATGTTTACTCAATTCATAACCTATCTGTAACCGTACTGTCTTCCAAATAGCAATAAACCAATAAACATGGACTCTTACCGTTTGGGCCAGTAATTTTTTACGTTTTTGCGAGCGTTCACGAAGAGTTTGCAACATGTCGAATCCTTACTCCAACAAAATCTCTGAATACCTTTACACAAAAAACTTTCAATAAGTACACCACTAACGGCGTCAGCAAAGAAGCTCAACCTTCTACGATTTTACAGAGATGAATACAGATGAATATGTCGATGGCCACTGTCGACGATACAGATTCCGCTGTAGCCGTGTGGGTCATGATTATCGTGCCAGTCGATATTACAGACAGCGTGAACACGAATGGATTGCATCGTGGTGGGGAAAATATTGCCGCCCCTCGTAAATTGTTAAAATACGTATTTTCCTAAAATTGAGGTGGTATACACGCGTGTCAAGTTTGCAACGCAATTTCAGACAAAACGTCCCTCGGGACGTCCTGGCGGTGCTCGCAAGGACGCTGCTGGGTCTACACCCATGGTCTTTCGTTGAGGTGAATCTTGACTAGGGGTAGACCTTTCGCGTTTAACTTGTCCCTTTT